TGGTGTGTGTGTGTGTGTGTGTGTGTGTGTGTGTGTGTGTGTGTGTATGTGTGTGTCCATCCGTCCCTCTCAGAAGAAACTTTTTTTTTCAAATAATTATTTTTTAATTTAACTTGGTCCAGGATTCAAACCACAGCCGGCCATGTGGGAGTCCAGGGCCCTTCACCATACCACCTGCTGGTCCCAGAAGAAACTATCTTAAGAAAGAAAGAGAAAGAAAATGTGGCTAGCAGGGACCAGCAGATGGCGTAACGGTAGCGTTGCTAGGCTCCCTGTAGTCAACTGTGGTTCGAGTCCCAGTCCCAGTGGCTTAAAACCCAAGGCAGGCACATGTGTGTGTGTGTGTGCCTGAAATCCTGAGAGGAGAATGGAGAAGGGACTGTGGCGTGGCCATGCCTCCTGGGGGTGATTTCTCTCTTTCTGTCTGTCTCTCTCTCTGGCAAGCACAAGCACCCTATAGCAAAAACCTCTCAAAAAAAAGGAGTCGACTACAGGGTGAGTTCCTCCAACACGCACGTACCGACAGTGCAGACCGAGTGCTGTTCCCGGTCTGGCCGAACGTGGCCGCCCTCTGCCCAGAGCCCTGTCCACTCATGCTCCTTCAGAGAACTCTCTGGAGGCGCCACTGCTGTCCACTTTTCCTGCACAGATCTTAGAAACACATGGAGCAAGGCCACGGCTTCTGTTCTAGCGAGAATCAAGCATAAAGACCGAACCAGGGCCCAGCAGGCGGCATGGTGGTTAAGGTGGTGGACTCACACGCGGAAAACTGCAGTTCGAGTCCCAGACCTGGAGGCTTGCTTTCTCCCTTCTTTTTCTGTCCCTCTCTGGTCAAATTAAAAACAGCAATAATAACTAAAATTAAATGTTTTAAAACAAGAAACCCTACCCTATCAGGTAACAGAGCCCCTCTATCTTCCGAAATCCCACATCTGTCTCGGCCACCAGGAGGAGTCCCAAGTCTCCCTTCTGCTCTGGGATGGCAGGGGCTGGGTGTCACCAGGCCAGTGCTGGCAGCAGCGGCCTGACCTTGCATGCCAACGGCTGATTAAAACGGCTGCTTTTATGGCGTGCCGCAGACACGCACACACTGCCCTCACTAATTAGAAACCACCGGTAGCACTGTGAGGGCTGAGCGCGTTCTCAGGAGTCCTAAGTCACTAACAGCCCTAAACCTGTCAGACTGGTCACGCACCTGCCTACTTCCGCACCCCCTGCCTGCAAAGTCACGCAAGGCAGCGCTCCTGAGTCTGCACTCGCTACCGCTTGCCTGCACCCCTGCTGCTGGGTCTGAAAAGGGTCAGGGCGGAGAGGCTTGGGCCTGCTACCCACAGATGCTGCCTCCCTTCGGGCCTGGCTCCTATGCGTGTGCAGAGGGGGCAAGCCCTGGCTGCCATCTGGCTGTTAGCTTTCCACTTTCAGTTCCGAAGGGTGCCAAGCCCATGGGGCAGGGAGGGGCGCTCATCACCCCTCCCCGGCTGGTCAGATGCTGCTCTATCTCCCCCAGGCTGGCGAGGTGCGGGGAATGCACGCTCCTGCAGCCTGGGGAAAGACAACCAAGAACCCTGTCTGCACAGCCAGCCACTGTGGGGCTGGGCCCGCACTGCCTACACCGCATGAGGTGCTCCTGAGACACTCACGCACAAGTCCAGCCGCCAGATGAATATCGGAAACAAGAATGAGCTGCCCCCAAAGGAAGGGCGTTGGGCACATTGCGTGCACAGGCAAACACGCACCGCCAAAGCCTGAGCGTGGGCCAAGCCCAAGCGTGTTTGGGCGG